CCGGGAGGGTTCTGCCCTTACCCAGTGGTCATCAAATTTGCCGGTGACAACAGCGGGAGCCAGGGAGCGGGCAGGATTCATGGAGCAGCCGGTGTAGTGGATCTGCAGTGGGAGGCAGGGGAGGGAGAGAAACGGGGAGGACTGGGCAGGGCGTCCTGTGCTCCTCTCCAGACCTTGAGCTCAACCTGAAGGGAGTCCACCCCGCGGACAATGAAGTTCATGTTCTGTTTACTGGGCCCTATTCCTTTGCCGCTGGAGTGATATCTGGCCTTAGGTATCTGGCAGTCAGACCCTCTGGGGTGTGTCTGTCCTTCCTGGGAGTCTGTATCTGTCCTTCTGGGGTCTTTGTCTGCCATTTGGCGGGGGGGGGGGGGGGGGAGGGGGCTGGAGGGGGGTTCTGTGTGTCTGTCTCTAGTGTGGTCTCTGGGTGTGTTTGTTTCTTTGGGGGAGAGTCTGTGTGAGGCTGAGGCCATGACCTACCCCAAGGAGGTGGCCCAGGGCCACGGAGAAGCCGATGGACAGGGCAGGGGTGCCCAGGTTGTCTCCACGGCGCTCATCCGTAGAGGCGAAGATGCAGAGCACCAGCTGCAGGGTCAGGAAGAGCTCCACCGTGACCGCCTGGCCGCCTGTCGTGTTGTTGCTGAGCTGGGGACAGAGCGGGGGCACAGTGAGCATGCTCCCGCGCTGGCTCCATCGTCCTGACAAGACTCCAGAGCGGCCTCCGGGCTGGCTGGGAGCCAGAACACCTGGGCTCACCAGCCACCTCAGTCCAAACGACTGATGGCTTCCTCCTGGGCCCGTGGCCCAAAGGCAGAGGGATGGACTCAAAGACGGCCCGTGATTCCCCAGTCAGAGGTAGGAAAAATGCTCCACAGCCCATTAGATTCGGGGGCTGGGATTGTGTGCCTACAATGTGAGTGGAAAAGGATGGGGAATCCAGAATTTCTGTTTCCTTTCTTTCTTTTCTTTTTAAAATGTTTTTATTGATTTCAGAGAGGAAGGGAGAGGGAGAGCGAGATAGAAACATCAATGATGAGAGAGAATCATTGATTGGCTGCCTCCAGCACGCCTCTCACCTGGGACCGAGCCCACAACCCCGGCATGTGCCATGACCGGGCATTGAACCATGACCACCTGGTTTATAGATCGATGCTCAACCACTGAGCCATATCGGTTGAGCTAAAATTTCTGTTTCTTGAAGAGCAAGAAGATAAAAGGTTTTGAATACAGCAGGAAGTTTAGGCCAGGTAACAGGAAGGCCTTCCTCTCTCCCTAGGCTATAAGACACTGATGTAACCAGAGGCCTATGGTCAAGGGGCTCCCGGGGACAGGGACTAGGGTCTGGGGATGGTCCTAGTGTGCCCCATACCCCCCACAAGTCTAGCATATGGCACTTTCCTCTAACCCTTGACTGTTCCCTTTGACTTTGCCTGTTTCCCACTGCATTCCAGCCTCACTTTTGCCCTGTGGATTTGCTCTCTGCACATACCATGGAAGCTGAGGTGAGGGTGCCAGAGTCCTACACTGTGACGCCTCCATGCCCATGTGGGATGCCCGTGACCCCAGCAGACCCTGCCTTGGGCAATGAGAGAACTTGAGGCCAAGCAAAGAGGTAATTTCATAATTGGACCACACCCAGAACTGGATTTTTCTCTGGGTTTTGTCATTCTGTGCCCTACACCCTGCCCTTTGGGGCTGGGCACTGAACCAGGTAGAGCTGTGACAGCTCTCACCTCCCATGCCCCTTCTTCAGCCCTTGAAACCCGACCCCTGGATCCTAGCCATTGGGCTGTCACTGTTGGGTCTTCTAGGCCCTATTCTCAATCCCCTGTGACCAATGTCACAGCCTGTAATGGGAGACAGTGAAAAGCACTTTAAAGGCAGACACTTTGGAGGCCTCTGACTTACCGTGGGCCCCTATTTACTTCAGCCTAAGTTTGTTCTTCTGTAAAATGGGGGTAACAAAATTCGGAAGGACTGTGTGAGGACTGGAATCGACAGTGGCAGAGCCCCAGCTCCATTCCTGAGAGACGGTGTGGACGTCTCAGATGGCTCTGGGTCCATTTCCAGGTACTGACACTTACTGGTTCTGTGACTGGAATCAGTTGAATGCTGAGCCTCAGTTTACCACTCATGGTAGAGGGTCACAGATTTCACCTTACCGCATTATACCAAGAATGAGATGATATCTGGCCTGGCGCGGAGCAGGTGCACATCAATGGTAACTCCTCGGTGGCCAGGCTAGCCTTTCTAGGGACCTCAGAAGACACCTGGGACAACTTTAAAGTCTTCGGGCTCCCTCTAGCCTCAGGGTCCCTCTGGCTCCCTCTAGCCCACTGCTGCGTCCCTCCAGCCAGGCGGGTTCTCCTCAGTTCCCCAAGGTAGTAATAACCTTGGGGGAAACCTCCCAGACCCTTCCATTCTGAGGGCTCCGGTCAACTCTGACATGATGGAGGAGCAGGACTGATAGTCTCCCTGCCCCCTTAGCAGCCCTGTCGTCCTGCTGTTGGAGGAGATTCCTCAGTCACATCCTGAGACTTTCTTGGCCCTGTGCTCAGGAAGTTGCTCTTTCTGTCTAAGTGAACCTCTCCTCGCTGCCAACTAAACCAATGTTGTCCTCAATGGAAGTGGCCACATTCCTCAGTCTGTCCCCTGCCAAGGCCATCCTAGCTCTTTCTCAGCCCTGAGGCCCCAGCCCCATCGCATTGTCCATTCGGAAGAAGTAAGAACAGAGAAGCTCCCCAGTTGGGATGCCTATGCCCCTCGTATGAGAAAGGGCCACTCATGCTGAGGAGGAGGCGGCCACAGGGACTGTGCAGCACTCTTCAGAGACACCAGAGCTCTAACCTAGTGGCCCAGGGACAGATCAGGCCCCAAAATGCAGGAAACTGAGGCCCAAAAGAGGCACTTGCTGCCTGGGCTTGGGCTGGGGTCGGGGGGGCGGGGGGAGTCAGGGTTCTGATGAAGGGCACGGACCATTCCTCCCACTCACACCCTCAGATGCCCAGGCCTTGCCCAGACCATGAGAGGAGCAGGTGGGGGCATGGAGGGGGCTGCGGCATCACCCTCAGCTCCCAATGCATCCAGGTGCCTGGCTAGCCACCATTCATGGAGTCAGCAGTTAGCGCACGGGCTCCAGGGTCCGGAGAGACAGTGCCCCTTTGCTTCCCCTGGGTTCTGGCACGTTCTCTGGGATTGACACACTGTAGAACTTTTGGCTGGTACTTCCCTTCTCTGAGCCTCCGTTTCCTTGGTTGCTCAGGCCGGAGGACCGTGAGGTTTGCAGCCAAGCCTGGTCTGAAGCCTGGCTGTGGCACTTGCCCCCTCTGGGCCTCAGTCTCCATATTCTCAAGGAAGGAGTACCCATCCCGACTTTGCAGCGCTGCTGCGAGGTGTCAGTGCGAGGCTGTGAGGAGCCCCGCGCCTGAGGCCAGTGCATGCTGAAGGAAAGTTGGGCCCTTCTCCCCTCAGAAGACCCACGGGGCTCACTCGGAGGTTCCTCCCAGCTCGGAAAGCACTTCTACTTTGGGAGCCTGTCCTCCAGAGCCCTAGCCCAGGCCTGACTGTAATGCAGGCGCTTCCTCCACGAGGGAGGGCAGACGGTACCTGCAGCGCCGGGGGTATCGTATGGGCTTCAGCTCTGGCTCTATTGCTCCATCCACCTGGGTCTCCTGTGGCAGCTGTGTTCCTGGTTCCAGCACCTCTGCCCCCACCCCCGCAGCCTCCGTCTCTCTCCGCACCCAGGCCCTCACCCAGACCTGTTCCCTCCATCCCATCCGCCCCTGGGGAGGAGGTGCAGCTCGGGCTACTCACCGCATTGATGGCCAGGTCCCCTCGGATGCCTTCGGGTGTGATCTCGTGCAGCAGAGCGGCTCCTGCCACGGCCCCCAGCAGCTGGGCAGCCACGTAGAAGGCCGCCCGGAGAAAGGAGACGTGGCAGCCCACCAGGCAGGCCACCGTCACCGCAGGGTTGATGTGGGCCCCGCTCACGTGGCCCAGCGTCTGCACCAGGGTGCCGATAGCCAAGCCGAAGGCCATGGCGATCTGCAGCACGGAGGGCAGGGCCTGCGGCCAGTTGAGGGCCGAGCCCAGGCCAAAGAAGACGAAGAGGAGTGTGGCCAGGAACTCTGCAAACACGGCCCTGGAGAAGGCTATGGACCGGAGTTCCCACATGCTGCCGAGCTTTCCAGAGCTGGCCCCGCTGTCTCAGGGCAGGAGGCTTGGGTCGGTCTCTCTCTCTCTCTCTCTCTCTCTCTCTCTCTCTCTGTTTCTGGGGAGGCTGGGTCATGGGCATTTACAGGGTCCTTCCATCCAGCATTTGGACACGTGGGGCGGAGGTGGAGTTTAGATTAATACTTCTTCACCCCTATGGCTTCCCCCTGCCCCCACTCCCCACCCCTGCCCACCACATGCCTATCACCCCATCTTGGCCTTCACAGCTGACTAATGTTCCCCATTAATGAGCGCCAGATAAGGGCTGACGTCCCCTGGTTTTCCGTGTTTGTCCCCTCGGTTAACCCCGGGGCTGTTGCCCCAGGGCCTCCCCGGCCCCGTAGGCTCTGTGAATGGCGATTCTACAGATTTGCCAAAACCCCTCTCTCTGACTCCAACTGTTGGCCAAGGCAGGGGCAATGCTTCACCCACAACTGACCAGGGGAGAGGATGTCAGTGCTACCCCTTCTAGTGACTGGGGAGTTCTTCCTGCGTCTGACCTCCAGTTATTTCTTCTTTAAGGGGACGGAAAACAACTGGTTGGCCTGTGACGCGGACCTTCCGAGGCACAGAGGTTTTGTGTCTCTTCTGTGCTTGCTTTCTTGCAGCCAGTCACCCATAAGTCACTAAGTGTCACCCCCTCCCTGGAACCCCAGCCAAATAGCAGCTCCCACGGCCTAGAGCAGGGGGTGGTTCCAGTGGCAGTGGGACCCCGGCCCTGGGTGATGGAGTGAACCTGGGGTTGACAGGCAGCTGCGGGCTTCCATTCCAGCACCCCTGCGCCCCTCTTTGTGAACCCCTTCTCATCCAGCTCTGTAAAAAGGGGGCAATAATGACCTTATCGGATTGGGGTTTGGATTAAATAAAATAATGTACATACAGTGCTCAAAGCAGTGCCTGGCCCACAGTAAGCCATCAATTAATACCAGCTATTTTTGATAGTATTATTTGTACTCTGAGGAGAATAAGTCTCCCCAAACTCACATGTTAGGGTTCCAGAAGCTGGGGCAGAATCTGGGTCGCCCCTGGAGCTCAGAGCCACACAGGGCTCTGGGGAGGACATTTCTGCGAGGCAGTGAGCTGTGCAGGCTGATGGAGGCCACAGTGCTCGATAGGCGGCTCTCCGGCCTGGGTGCCCACGCAGCCCAGCACCGGGCAATGCTACTTCCTGCCACCAATGTTACTCCAGCCCAGGGTCTAGGAGGCATTTGGGTCTGGAACCCTCCCCTCCCCACACACACAGGTGACACCCCACTGTTCCCAATCCCTCCAGCCCTGCTCCTTTCCTGGGGATGGAAAGGCAGGGTCAGGGTCCGAGTGTGGTCAGGCCCTGCTCTTCCTCCTGACCAGCAGGTTCCATGCAGTCCCAGTCCCAGGAATGGAAATCTGGGCCGATGGACACTGTAGAGTAGAACCCCTTGTATTGTATCACAGGAGGTCACTGAGGTCCAGGGAGGGTGAGTGGCTCATCGGAAGTTGCCCAGCAAGCTAGTGGCTGAGCTGGGACTGGAGCCTAGGCCGGAGAGCATTCTACCACACCCTTTGCTGCCGGTCACACTCTGAGCCTCAGTTTCCTTGTTCAGAAAATAGGAGCAGTGCTGCCCACACCACAATTGTTTTGAGGATGGAGCAAGATAATGAATGGGAAATATTTTGCAATTGAGAATGCACCATCCAAATACATAGAGGGACTAGGGAATCCTGCTAGTGAGGAGTCGGAGGAAGAGAAGGAGGAGGGGAAGGAAGAAAGGAGAAAATGACCGACCCCCACCCCCCAAATCAGAAATTCTCATGGGGCTTGTCCTCTGGTGTATTTCCAGTGCCTAGAATGGTGCCTGACACACAGGTAGATGCTCAACTGTGTCCTAAATGAAGATAACCCCCCTCCACCCCTGCCTCCTGCTGGGAGAGGCGGAGATGAATCCAGGTGGGCTGAGGACTGGGGTGGACGCCAGCTCCATACTCCCCACCTCCACCTGCCCACTCTGAGTCTAGCACCCAGTAGTTTTCCAATTTCTCCAGGTAAGGCTCCCCCCTCCCTTGACCTGCTGGCCCCCCTCTCCTTCTCCAGGGCGCAGCTCTTACTTGGCCCCTGGTTCCCTGCTCTCAGCCATCCCTTCCCAACCTCAGGCCTTCCTAATGCTCTAGGGAGAGATTCAGAGGGAGGGACAGATTTTGACTTGGCCTCGTCAGTGCCTGGGCCCAAGGCTGGGAGGCGGGGAGGGTGCCAATCATGCCTGGGGCCTTTGAGTCAGGGAGGCAGAAGGTGTTCCCATCAAGCCACGGTCAGAGCCCTGCTTCCTGGCAGGCCGCGGGGCACCCCAAGGGGAGGGCTACGTTTTGTCTCCAGGGACCGCTATGTGGTGTCTTTACGACGTCCATGGTGCCATCAGTTGTATGATGCACGGCTAACTCGAAATGAGAAAAGTGCTTTTTTGGAGATGGGTGGTGGCAATGCTTGCGCAACAGTGTGGCTGCACTTAATACCATCGAACTGTGCACTTAAAAATGGGGAGGATGGTACTTTGTAGCAATTAAAAATAGTTTCAGGAAGCGAATAAAGGAACCTGACCTGAAATGCTTTTTTAAAACCAATTTTTATTTTGTGTATTTATTGGAAGAAATTTTTATTTATTTATTGATACCTCAGTTTTTAAGTCAAAATCTCTCTTGTGCATGCATAAAGGAGGAAATTATAGGCAAAAGAAATTGGCTGAAATTCAGTTGAGCCTTGAACAACAGGGTTTGAACTGCACGGGTCCACTTACATATGGATATTTTTTTTAAAAAAAATGCTGTAAATGTATTTTCTCTTCCGTATGATTTTCTTAATAACATTTTCTCTTTTCTCTAATTTGCTTTATTGTAAGGATATAGTATATAATACATATAACATACAAATATGTGTTAACTGACTTTACGTTATTAGTAAGGCTATTTGTAGTTAATAGTAGGCTATTTGTAGCTAAGTTTCAGGGGAGCAAAAAGTTATGTGTGGATTTAGACTGCACAGGGGGTTGGCACCCGTAGTCCTCGTGCTATTCAATGGTCAACTGTCGTCCACCTAGAAGATTTTCTTCACATTCACTGTCCACATTTCCTAAGCCCTGCTTGGTCTCAGATCCCCGAGCGTTTTTCTGCACCGCGTCCTCTGTGCGTCAGGAGTGCAGTTAGGCACCATTTCCACGCGATTGTCCACTGCTGTTTCCGGAATTCCTTCCCCAGCCTCGGATACTCCTTCTGTAAGCTTTACCGCATGTGTTTTCTTGCTTCGCATGTGACTGGCAGTCATGGTGCCCTTTCCTCAGTGACAAAACATCCCACAGCTTCATCCACTTGTGAGGCCGTTCCTTTCTTAGGTTTCATCAAACACTTGGCTGTTGTTTTGCAAGAAAATATGGAACTGCTCTTCAGTGGTAACTATTTGCTTCACTAATATTACATTCTTTCTGCGCTCCTGTTTTCCTGCCTTTGTGTATACACAATAACTCGGTGTGTAACTGCGAAACCACAGTGTAGCCTCCTTGGAGACATTTAAATAGCAATTAAGTTGAACGGATGTAGGCAGGAGAGGCGGGAACTTACCTGACCAAGTTTAAGTACAGGTAGTGACAGCCACTCCCAGCTGCTCTGATTGAAAGAGACGTTAACATGAGAAAAAGAGCCCACCGCA